TATTGTAACCATGGCGACAAAGCTCCTCTAACCTTTCCCTAATCCTAACCAAGTCAATTTTGTGTCTGGACCTAACCAAACTTCAATCATAAAACTTATTTTTTGTGTGTGAGAGAGGAAGCATGGAGAAGAGATAGATGACAGACGGAGATGAATAGACAGAGGAGTGGAGAAGGCAGGGAGATAGAGAGAGGAGATGAAGAAAAGAGAAAAGCCTCGTGATAAGAAGAGCTAAACAAGAACGAGCAGACTGCAAAGAAGAGGAGAGAAGGGAAGGAAGACCAGAGGAGAATAAGGAAGGAGGTAATGGATCTTTAAGAATCCGACCCACCTGATAACAAAGGCTTCGTAAGTTATCACTTTTCCTTCTTATACCCCTGGTATCATATTTTTTCTAGAGAGACGAGAGCCATATGAGCCTGTCTTATGATCGCCTTGGTGTGTTGTGTGTGTTGTGTGGTGTGTGTGTGTGTCTGTTGTGGTGTGCTCATGGCGTGGAGCGTGAATCAGTGTGTATTAATAAGAGACAGATGTTTGCCGTTATGGTTGTGAGCATGTCCAGTCGGTCAGTGACATCATCTGTAGCTTGGTGAAGTTACATCAGGCTTATTTGTTAGGGTAAACACACACATACACACATTTTGATGTAATTGAGCGGAAGACAGATAAAGTAGAACAAATAAACATTATAAAGTTGTGACAAATTCCATGCACATCGCTGTGCTCTGAAGCAGCCACACAACATTCGCTAGCATTGTTATGCAGACGACTCCCAGATATATATCCCGATACAAACCAGCGAAGACTACACCACTGGGTATAGTGTCTTTTGGAAATAAAGGGTTGGATGTCCCAAAACTTTCTGTCTTTGGTTCTAAAAAGTCCGTCTCCACTCTGCAGAATGTATTCTCTCTGCAAATATCAAACCTGCAGCCAGAAACCTACATGATCTCCAAATGGAGTTTAATGTGCCGTAAACAATCTACAGTTTTCAGCTTGTTGCCTTTTCTGAGTCCCATTTCTGGGTGGAAGTTAGTTTAAGGAAGTAAACTTTGATTGATTTAGCTGCTGCTTGAGGCAGATGTTACTCTTAAAGGGACAGTTCACTCCTAAAATGCCCTTTTTTCTCCTTTTGCTCTTTATCCATCTAGATTGTATTAGTGGATATAATACAATAAAATGTAAACAGATGGCACTTGATGGCTTTGGCAATATCTCCAGAAATCATGACTTACTCAAGATAATCCACACACCTTGTTGTGAGCAGTTTCATGTAGGAACAATTTTATTTTCTACCAAACGACCCTAACGTTAGCTATCTCAGTGGTGCTAAGTGAGCTAGTGAGTAGATGCATGTTTCCTTCTGCACAGTGATATGTAGAAACAATATATTTCATAGGTAAGGAAATGCATTTTTAATTTTGGGTTGACCTGTCACTTTAAGGTTATATTAAACCTAAAATGAAGCAGTGGAGGTTCCTATAAATGTTTATTAATGTGCACATCAACATTACTGAATTCGTCAAAAAACAAGTCTATTAAGTATGTATGATAAAAATGTAGAAAAAAGGTAATATAGACAGGTAATTATACCAAAAGATCCCTAAAATATCAGGAAAACTAATCTTTGATGCAATATTCACAGAAAACAATCTGCTTAAAATTCATCCAAATTACTTGTTTTACATGAACTTCCTGCAGTTATTGTGTTTACTGTTTGGGTCAGTTAGGAAAAAGGAAAAAGGGTGGGAAAAAACAAATTAAGATTCTTCTTCGTAGGAGGCACTCGTTAATTTAGAGTTATTTCATATACATCAGTAATGGATGCTTCCTAGGAGAAGTTACTGTTGTTTGTTGACAGATACATTAATAAACAATAATGTCCTTACATCTGCGTACAACTACATAATAGGGTGTAAAAACATTTATGAAGTGCTTATATACTGCTTGTAAATGCTAAATAGAGTATAAATATAAACTAAAGTGTCAATATTACTTCCAGGGTTTCTATCAGTGGAATGTATGCCTGTTACAGTTAATATGATTAATTTAGCAGTGACTAACCACATGAGTGCAAAAAAAGAATGTGGTGTGGCCCCATGATGTTTCTCTTTTTTAATGATTTGAAAAGGATGCATAAATCCTACATTAAACACTAACCAGCTGTCAGTACAAAGAGTCAGTCCCACTCAGCCCCAAATTCAGATGCAGTGATCATGGCAGGCAACGTCACATGACTGGCCTGTGAAGTCCTAGTATTTGAAATTTTACTAAAAATTAAAAGTGTTTACACATACAAAAAGTAAAAGTAAAAATATAGTGAAAAAACTCACTAAATAGAAGTTACTTGTGAGTTGCTTCAAGAGACAAATGATTAGGTAATAAAGTAATACATCAACTGAGTAGAATGCACCACTTTACATGATATGTCACTTTATTAAAGTAAGTTAAGTGATCTTTATTTGTTTCTGTTCACTTTTTTTCCCAGTAATTTTCAATAAAACAAGATATCTGAGACAGAGTGAGTGCAAAGGTGAGAGAGAGTAATGAAAAAACAGACTGATGCTTAAATGATAGCGAACAGTGGAGATTGAACCTCTTTTAATGCGCTAAGAGGGATGTAAAAGGGCAAAGAAAATGACAGAGAGAGCACAATTGTTTCAGAGAAATTGTTAACAATCACGGAGTCAGTGCCCAGCTGAAAGCCTCATAACAAGGCTTCTCTCTGTTAGCCTGTTAAGGAGCTAAAGTGGTAAATTGTTTTACTGGAAGTGATGGAGGAATGTCTGTCTAAAATGGTTCTCGTGCACTTAGTTTCTGCCTCTTGTTCTCCTACACACACAAATATGACTGAGCTAAATTTAAACATAAATGCTGATACTGACAAACTATACTCATGCACAAACAATGATAATAATGCCAACATGATTGCACACAGACACGAGGCCAGAGCACTTAGATTAGACCCATAAACAGCACATTAAATCCCACTCGCAGGTAATTAAATATCCTCTGTCTCTTTACTCGCTTGCTCTCTCATCCCCCCTTCCCTGCTCCATCGGATTCGAACTCAAAGGCGCCGCTTGCACATGCACATAAAAGTGGCTCCCATATGACAAAGTGGAATAAATATGGAAAAACGTTACTCATTAAATGGAATGGAGTCCATATTTAGACATGTTAAATATGGAGTGGCTTTTATGACCAGCTGAGCCAGACAAATCAGTAACACAGACAACAGTCCTGAAAGAAAAGAGCATAATGATGATGTGACAACACACACACAAGACTGGCACCATTTTCTAATAAGGCCCCCTTTATAAGTTATAACCAAGTTATGAATACAATAAAGCCATCCATAAGAACAACTTTTGGGTTGCCAAATTGTGAAAAATGCCTTTGACTGTTGGACTGTTATCAAACATGTCTCATTCATACAGCAATTGGCATTTAGCTAATTAATCAAGCGGTTTTCAGTGTCAATCTTTCACCAGTTGCTGTTCAGTCGCAGGTCAGGTGCACATGAACTTTTTGTAGAAATCAAGAGTCACTTCTTCTGTGATTGTTAATATACAGCTTCCCAAGTACCAGTCAAGCTGGCTTATCAAACCAGTTTGAACAGTCATTGTAGTTTAGCCTAAGCAGGCACAATGTAGACGTAAGGGAATGATTCAAAGACAATCAATAGCTTTGTTACTGTAGAGTTATAGAATGGTGTCACCTGTCAGAGGGTTAGATTTAGGGTGATTCCCATTGAAGGCCTAATTATGGGTCAAAAACATCATTTCACATTAGTAGGGCTCCTGGGCTCCCATAGGAATACTCACCCAACTTTTGGCACATGTACATTCATAAATATGGGCCATTTCGAATAGAATTTACATTTTTCCTCATCAGAACTGATGACATTACAATGAGTTTAACACACAACACAAAATGGTCCAAGACAATACATGTGCAAAGCTGAGATAAACTGAGCAGTAAAACCTTTATGTATACCTTCTGCACAAGAAACAAGACAGCAAACACAGCTAGACCACTACAGAACAAGAGCTCATTGTCATTACAGCACAAACCAACACTTAAATTCTCCCACACCTGCACATACACTCCTTCAACACACTTAATGTGTGGTATCAACCCCTACCACAAGCTCAGTAAACTATACTGTGAGGATTTGAAGTTTTAAAAGACAGTCAGGGCCTAGCAGAGTAATCACACTGACTCACCGAGCAGCAGACTCTGATGTCTGCCGCAGGCTGAGTCACACACACTCACAACGTCAGAAGTTCAGGAATAATGAGATGTTTGCAAGTGCATTTTGTGTAAGTGTTTGTTGGTGGATGAGCATATGAGAACAATATGCATGTGTGCTGTAATCTAATGGAAAATGTTCTTTTTTTTCAGGGCTCTCTTTCTGGGGAAGCCAGACGGTCGGTGTGTGTGTGTGTGTGTGTGTGTGTGTTCTGGTGGAAAGAGTGTGTCTGGTTTTTTTTCGGTGTATTCCCACACTATACAGCCTGTGAGGTAATCAGGCTAAACGTTATGTTGTAGTCTGTTACTTTAACCAGCCTGGAGATGAAATCATTGATGTACTCACATGCCAAACATGTGTGTAAGTATATTGTCAGGGCCTTGTGTGTGTGTGTATGCATGTGTGTGTGTGTGTGTGTGTGTGTTAACCAGCTGGTCAAAGCCAAAGGCACATCAAGGTGACTAAATAGAAAACAGCTATGTGACTTCACCCAGTTTTTCCCTCACCATTGACCA